TGGCCGCCAGCTGAAAACTGAACACCAGCAGATGCCGTTGATCCAAGGTAGCGCACCAAGCGCTTTGCCACCTCCAACTGCTCCTCAGTGGGCCGCTGCACAACTCTGGCCAGCTGCCCCACTCCGAATGAAGCATCAGGTCGCGTATGCACAGCTGCATACATCACACTCCCAATGAGTGACTGGTACTCATTCTGCTGCTCATCCTCGAGTACATCATCCTCCTCAGCTGCCTTCTTCAGTTTGAAGCCCGCAGGGAACGGTGTCATCACAGTGCGACCCCCAGTCACACCATACCGCTCCATGACACCAGAGATGTAGTGTGACTGATGCACCTTCAGCCACCTCCTCTCAACATCCCTCTCAATCTGCAGCCCCAAGTAGTAATGGACATCCCCCAGCATCTTGCACTTGAAGTTGTCCATCAGCAGCTTCTGTGTCCTCTCAATCTGCTCCATGGAGGGTGAGAACAGCAGTATGTCATCAACATACACCAGCAGCAAGAGCAGCTGCTCCCCCTCTCCAAGCAGAAACAAACTGTGATCCGCCTGGGATGTCTTGAAGCCTCCACTCAGCAGCACCTCCTCCAGCTTCTCGTACCAACACCTGGGCGCTTGCTTAAGGCCATAGATGGCCTTCTTAAGCTTGCATACCCGGCTGGTCCCATCCTCATAGCCGTCGGGCTGCGCCATGTAGATATCCTCCAGCAGTATTCCATTGAGGAACGCAGTGGTGATATCCATCTGCTTCACGTGCCATCCCTTCACAGCTGCACCAGCCATCAAAGTCCTCAGTGTTACTGGCTTAGCAACGGGAGCGAATATCTCTCCAAAGTCGACCTTCTCTTTGTGCTGAAACCCCTTGGCGACCAAGCGGCTCTTGAACCGCTCCAACGCACCATCAGCTCCACTCTTCACCTTGAAGACCCACTTGCTGCTGATCGGCCGTCGCCCCTCGGGTAACTCAACAAGCTCCCAAGTCCCATTCTCAATGAGACTGTTGAACTCCGCATCCATGGCAGCCTTCCACTCCTCCTTCTGGGGTCCACTGAGTGCCTCCTCCACTGTGGCAGGTTCTCCAGGCAAAGGTGTGAAGAAACAGAATGCCATCTCCTCATCCTCCCCCTCATCTGCCTGAACCGCCATGGCACCTTGCTTGGGTCCTCCCAAACGGCTATACTTCAGCCTTGAGGGTGCTACTACCACTCTCTTCTCGCGGGTTGCAATCTGCTGCCCATGTGGTGAAGCTCCTCTCTGCACACTCCTCTTGGTGACCTTGGCGTTTGCAGCAAGCTCGGGCTGAGTTGGTGAGTCCACACGTGCCGACTCATCCTCCAACCCCTCCTCTCCAGCAGGACCAGAAACTTGCTGCTCACCACCGCCACTGTGGTCACTGGTCAGCTCTGACCCAGGGAGATCCTCAAGGTGCAGCTGAACCTCCTCCACTGCAGACCGCTCAATCTCCTGCAAACGCAAGCCAATCTGCACCTGCTGCTGCTGCTGCCAATCCTTGTACATGACGTCCTCCACAAACTTGACGTCACGACTGACCAGCGTCCTCTTGCTCTTGGGGTCCCACATCAGCCACCCCTTCGAGTAAGGAGCCATCCCAAGATGGACAGCCCACACAGCAGCAACTTACAGCTTGTGCCTCTGCTCCTTAGGCACCATCACAAGCCCCATGCAGCCCCATACCCGTAGCATGTCAATGGATGGCTTCTTCCCAAGCCAACGCTCGTACAGCACCCAATGCTTGTCGCCAACATGAGTCAAGACCCTGTTCTTGACCGTGATGACATGGCGAACGGCATCAGGCCAGAACTTGTAGGGCATCCCAGCAGCCCCCAACAAGGTCTTAGCCGCCTCGCCAATGGTCCGGTTGGCACGCTCAGCAATGCCGTTCTGCTGCGGTGTTCCAGGGCAGGTCAGCTGATGCCGGATGCCATTTCTCTTGAGGAACTTGGTGAATTCCGCTCCAAGGAACTCTCCACCTCGGTCGCTCCTCAGCACCTTCACCAGCCGCATCGCTTGCCGCTCCACCATCGGCAACCAATCCTCCTTGATCGCCGCTGCAGCATCGCTCTTCTTGGACAAGGGACGCGCCCACGTGAAACGGCTCCATTCGTCCACCATGGTAAGGAAGTACAGCACTCCCCCAGTCCCCTCAGTCCTCATAGGACCCACCAGGTCCATGTGCACCACCTCCAGCGGCGCCTTCGCTGATCCCTCTGCACGTGGAAACGGGAACCGCGCAAACTTGTTTTGCATGCACGCCTCGCAGCTGCCATAGTGAGCGCCATCTCCTTGCAGTTGCAGCCCATGCACGCACTTCTCCTTATGCATCACCTCCAGTGTTGAAACAGCCACGTGTGCGAGCCGCCGATGCCAAGTCTCCCAATCCGCTTGGCCCGAGGTAGCTGACGCCTTCACCGCCGCGCTTCCTCCAATCAGCTCCTCTCCTTGCACACCTTGCTGCTCCTCCTCGGTGACACTCTCCTCCATAGATGCCGCCGCTGCCGCCTTGCCCGATTTCCGCCAAGGGAGGACCGGGATCTGCCACATCCGCTTGTGGACATCTCCCTTCCACTGCAGGTCCCAAATGAGGCGCTCATCGTTGTACGCACGATAGCGCTCCGAGCCAATCGTCTCGGTGTTCACACCCGCATCTCCCAACCGGCCGGTAGAAATCAGGTTCGCGCACAAGTCCGGCACCCACAGCACATTCTTCAGCCCCACGAGCTCTCCATCCGCTCCCATGAACTTGGCGCATCCCATGCCCATGACCTTGGCCTTGGCGCCCGTCGCGGATGTGACCGTAGAGATAGGTGCGGGCTGAATCTCATCGAGTAAGTCCGCACGAGGAGTCATGTGCCAGGAGCTTCCCGAGTCAATCACCCAATGGGTGAGGGGGTGTAGGAGAACCTTGGCAGCCATAGCGAGGTCGGTTGCGCCTTCGTTCACGAAAAAGAAGAACCCGGCCTTCCGCTCCTCAGATTTGCCGCCTTTCTCCTCCTCCTTCTCCTCACCACTAGCTCCCATGACTCCCCCACTCCTCTTGCCACCATGCAGGTTGCTCGATGAAGGCGGGGTCCAATCCTTGGGTCGTTGGTAGCACTTCCGCCAACGATGTCCGCGCTTCTTGCAGTAGAAGCACACCTCCCCTTGACCCCCGCCGCCATCCTCCTTAGGGTTGTCCTTGTTTTTGCCCTTCCACTTCTTCTTGAAGCCACTCTTTCCACCTCCAACTCCATAGCCAGCCCCCTCCTCCGAGCGCTCCACACTCCGCCGCCGCAAGTCCTCCTCTAGGATGTGCGCGCGAATGTAATCCACGCTCCATTGGGGTTGTTGGGAGTTGAGGTTGATCGCTAGGGCAGACCACGACTCTGGCAGCCGTATCACAATCTCCACGCATTGCACGAGCTCCGGGTATACCACACCGCCTACTTGGAGCTTCGTGAAGATGTCCCGCATCTCATCCAACACCGGTTGCATCGGCTCTCCATCAACGAACTTGATGTCGCGCAGCCGCCACGCGAGTAGCACGATGTCGGTAGCATGTGTCGGTGAGTGCACATCCAGAAGCTTCCTCCAAGCCTTGGGGCCACACTCTGGATCACCCAAGAGGTCCTTGATGTGGTCAAGTTGTCGTCCGCCAACCGCTTGCACCATGAGCATGTACGCATCGAACGATCGCTTCATCCACGCTCCTTTCAGCTCCGCGGCCTCCGGCATCTTCTCCTTCCCCTCCACCAGATCCAATAGTTTGTATTGGGTGTACATCAGCCTCATGCGGAAGCTCCAGTGCTCGTAGTCCTCCCCCATGAATTTCTCAATAGAGAACGCCTTCACGGGATCCACGGTTGTTGGAGATGGTGTAGTAGACGTAGGTAGCGTAGGGTTGGCTGGTTGGTGAGTCCCCACTCCTCCACCAGCAACTCCCCCCTGCTCTCCAGCCTCTCTACTTCTATCCATCTCGCCACTAGCACCTCCGGAGTTCGTACCAACCATATTGAGGCCTTATGAACGGTGGAAACTTGAGAAATCGTTTGGAGAGAATTCTGCCAGAAATTTCGATTCTACGAAAAACGTCGTCGCGGACAAAACACTTCGAATTAGAACGCGGTTTGACCACCAATCGAAATTTCGCAAGCAGAGATACTAGAAAATGGTCTCACTCGACATCATTGGTTGAGAATTCACGACGGTTCGTCGTCTCGAAGTCGACTACCCGCTCTGATACCACTTGTTGTTCAGGATCCGTCACTTTGAGAGCTTACGACGAACTCATTACTCAAATAAACGCAAATCCGCTTGGTAGAAAGTTGCACCTTAGACTTAGCTACCATCTCCAAGTTGAATCAGTCGTTAAGATGGTTTATAGAGTGAGAACCAAGTAAAAACGTCCAGCAGCCGCATCACTAGAATGGTAGAGGAAGTACAAGCATGTAGGCATAGGAAGTTGGAGTTGGGAACCTCCAAGAGAACCATGAGAGGGAAGGGGTTCTCCAAGAGCTAGGGAAGGATGGTAGGAACCTTCCTAGCAGCAAGGATGCAACCCTCATCATGAGGTCCTTGAGGTGTCACATGCAAAATCCAATCTAGTTGGATTTTGCCTAGGTGTTGCAACATTTGCAACCCATGCTAGAAACTTCTAGCCACCCCAATCCAAAAGTCAAAGTTGCCTTCCCTAACCACCCAACCAAAGATCCCTTTATAGTCATGTCCCAAGTAATCACCCAAATTAGATATAACCCCAAAAGGTAATAAGAAATCCAAGTCTTGGAAATCTTGTAACTTGGGCCATCTTGGTCGGAATAAGGCGATCTTGGTATCGTTGGAAAGCTCTGGATTTCTCCTGCATGATCAAGCATTTAGACTTGGAGAAAAAACACAGAGATGACAATATCCAACAGCCATGCATAATGACATATGCTCATGCAAATCATGCAAGCACAAATAGCACGAGCACTCGGCAGGACGTTAGGATGACATGCACCCAGAATGACGTGCATCCAACATCACGTCCCCCCATGGCACCACCCTGCTGTCTCTCACGCTGTTGCAGCTTCTCTCCGCCTTGTCTCTCTGTCTCCCTGTCTCTCCACTGCTTTCTGCAGATCTCTCTCCAACAATGCTTTCACAGGCTTTATTCCAGCAGCAGCGATCGCACAGATTCCCAAGCTGCAGAAGCTGTATGCACGCCACCACTTGCATCCCACCACTTGCACCCCACCGCTTGCACCACACATTCACAGAGTGATTTGTAACCGGCCACTCATGAACAACCAAGTAACCACGCAAGCGACCTGAAGAAGTCATGTGCATCACAACTCTTGCGTTGCAACAGGTTGTACAAGGACTCACGCTCTTGCCGTGCCATGCCATGTGATGCCATGCACAGGGACACGTTTGTGCTTCCGCCCTTTAGCTCTTGCTCTTAATTTGTGTCCCTCTCCATTTTGCTCCCTTTCCCTTTCCACCCTCTCGCTTCCCCCCTCTCCTTCCCCACCCTCTCCCTTCCCCCTCTCTCCCTTCCCGTGCTCTCCCTTCCCCTCCTCTCCTTTCCCCTCCTCTCCCTCCCCCCTCTCTTCCTTCCCCATCTCTCCCTCCCCCACCTCTTTCTTTGCCCCCTCTTCCTTGCCCGCTGTACGTGTGCACGGCAGGGACCTGAGTTACAACCAGCTATCAGGGACCGTGCCAGAACAGATCTCTGCCTTGACTGCAATCACCAACTTGTACGCCCACTGGCTGCTGCTTCCATCCGCACTCCCACATTTGCCCGTGCCTTGCCTTGCTATGCCATGTGCAAGCAGATGGTGTCTTGTCAGCTCTATTTCCACATGTGCCTGTGCCACGCCGCAGAGCCACACTGAGCGATACCAGCCTTCCACCCCTCCCACCCCTCCAGGGGAGTTTTGAGTCGACTCAAAACTCGCCATGCCGCAGAGCCACACTGAGCGATACCAGCCTTCCACCCCTCCCACCCCTCCAGGGGAGTTTTGAGTCAACTCAAAACTCGCCATGCCGCGGAGCCACACTGAGCGGTACCAACCTTCCACCCCTCCCACCCCTCCAACCCCTCTCCTCCCACACCTCTCCAACCACCTTCCTTTTTCTCCGGCCCGTCTCTTTCACCTACCACTCCACCCCACCCCACCCCACCCCACCCCTCTCTGCCTTCACCCCCAGCGATCTGAGCCACAACGACCTGTCCGGCCCTCTTCCAACCAGCATCAGCAGAATGACAGACCTCAAGGCCATGTGAGTGCACTACGCTGCACCACTGCCCTCTCTTGTACCCTCCCTTTCCCTGCTTCTGTGACTCCGGTAGCAGGGGCACAGCTTAGTGCTCTGCGTGTAGCATGTAATGGGGGAGGGACGCATGCCTGTCAGACAGTCCTTTTCATTGAATAGTACATCGGGGACAGCAAGGGCAGGTGAGAGCGATAGGGCTTGTAACCCCACTCCGGTTTGACCTTCCCTCCCTTCCCCCCTCCCTTCCCCATTTACCCTTCCCTTCCACCTTTCCTTTCCCCCATCGCCTCCTCTCCCTCCCCTTAATCCTCTCTTCCCCCGTCCCCTCTGACGACCACCTCGTGCACGGCAGCAATCTGAGTGGCAACGAGTTTACCGGATCCATACCTGCTGAGTACTCGAATCTCGCCAGCCTCCAAGTGCTGTCAGTGCCCCACCAACCCTCTCTCTCGCCCTGTCCTCCCCCCCATGAACCTGCTCTCCTTCCCCCTCTGCTCTCCTTCCCCCTCTGCTTTCCTTCCCCCTCTGCTCTCCTTCCCCCTCTGCGCTCCTTCCCCCTCTGCTCTCCTTCCCCCTCTGCTCTCCTCCCAGTTTCACATTCTCACTCCCCCGTGCTCACGGGCCCCCCTCGTCCTCCCCACTCCAGCAATCCCTTTCCACACTGCACTGCCTCTCCGCTCTTTCTCTCCATCCCCACTTTCCTGTGCTTCCTTGCCCTCCCACATTCCATCCCTTTTATAACTTCCCCATGCCTTTCCAATCTCAATCTTCTGCCTCCACAGCTCTCCCCAGTCCCCTGCCTTTCAGCTATATGACTTTGAGAACTCTCTCTCTTCCACTCTGCACCCCCGCAGTAACCTCTGCTGCAACCAGATCAGCGGCACTCTGCCCACGATTGTCGGAGGACTATTAAAACTGGAAGCCATGTGAGTGATGCATCCAGCTGGCCCATGTGATGTGAGTGATGCGCCCAACTGGCCCATGTGATGTGAGTCATGTGCCCAGCTGATTCATGTGAGTGACCCGCGCAGCTGAGCCTTGTGAGTCATCCGCTGGGTGAGATATGTGAGCCTACACAGATTCATTCGGCACCTCATGCAACAACATACATACACACCACACATGCAGCTGCACACACAACACTGCTTTTCCTTCCAAGGTTCTGTGCTAGATGTTCACTTACGGAAGCTTGACCTGTGCTGATTGGGTTGAGAGCAAGGGTGGCTGGCTAAGGGCAAACGCTTGCTAGTTCATTCAAAGAAAGAAGAGCCTCGACAAGCCTTTGGTAGTCAAGATGAACCCAAGGATAGCTAGAAGCAAGCAAACACATGCTTAGATTCTCTCTGTGATCTGAATGGGATTCAACGGCGGAGGAAGTTTTTTCTCGCCAGCCACTTGCCTTCCCTTCTAGGAGAGTATCCCGCTTTCACTGCTGCTTCCACTGCTGCTGCTGCCACTGCTGCTGCCACTGCTGCCGCCACTGCTCCTTCCTACAGTGTTCCCCCTTGTTCCATACCGCAACGACAGCTCATCACAGGAATGCTGTACTGTCTTTCACATTGATGCCCCCTCCCCTCTCCTAGCCTCCCATCTCACCCAACCCTCCCACCCCCCCTCTCTCTAATGACCTCTTTGGTCTCACCCTTCCTCTCGCTCTCTCCTCTCTTTCCCTCGGCAGTGACCTGAGCAACAACCTTCTGCATGGAACCATCCCCACTCAGTACACTGGCCTTGTCCGCCTCACTCTCCTGTGCGTCCATCCTACTGGCCTCACGCCCCTATGCAGTGCAGTGCAGTGCAGTCAGTGAAGTGCGGTGCAGTGCAGTGCAGTCAGTGCAATGCAGTGCAGTGCAGTGCAGTTCTGTGCGGTGCATTGCAGTGCAGTGCAGTTCAATGCAGTTCAGTTCAGTGCAGTGCAGTGCACTCAGTGCAGTGCAGTGCAGTGCAGTGAAGTATAGTCAGTGCAGTGCAGTGCAGTGCAGTGCAGTGCAGTCAGTGCAGTGCATTGCAGTGCAGTGCGGTGCAGTGCAGTCAGTGCAGTGCAGTCTCATCGGCCTTCCCCACCTTCCTTCCCCCTTACACCCCACCCCCCACAGAAACCTCAACAACAACCAGCTGACAGGCCCCATACTAGAGCCCATCCCAGCATCTCTCACCGTCTACAATCTTGACAACAACTATTTCTCCTCAGGCTTCTCCTCCCCACCCAACTGTGCGCAAGGCTCCATCTCCTTCCGCTTCAACTGCCTTGAAACCCCTCCTGACGGGTACTCTTGTCCCACGCCTGCCACGCCCTGTGCTGCGGCTGCAGCGGTGCAGCGGCCGGAGGCACTCTGTGCTGCCTTCTGTGGCGTGAGTGCTGCCGATCCCCCGTGCGGCGGGCATGGCTTGTGCTACCTGGAGGGTCCTAGCAGAGTCCCCAAGTGTGACTGCGAGTCTGGGTTTGTCAGCGGGGAGCTTCCTGGAAGCTGCGTCGCTGAAGGCAGTGAGTGTGGGGGGGTAAGGGAAGGTAGGGGGGAGAGGAAGTGGGAGGGGGAGGGAGAGGAGGACGAGGAAAGAGGGAAGGGGAAGGGAAGGGAAGAGTGAGGAAGGATGGTCAATGGAGAGTCGTGTGGGCTCCTTTCTTGAACGATTAGGCAGTTCAGAAGCTCCTCTCACTCACCGCTGTTTTCTCCCCTATTCCTGTACCCTGTACCCTACCCACATACCACCATTTCCAGCCTCCCACCCAACCCAAGCCAAGGTGAGACGGCGCCCCAATGGCCGTGCACATGGTAGCAGCAGCGAAACATTTTCTGTGCTCAACTACCAACTTATTTTACATTGCCTTTCCTTCTCCTTGTTGCTGCCCTCGCCCATTCTCCCGTCGCCAGGCCCGGGGAGCGGCCCAGTTACCCTGCAGCCAACAGCAGCACAGATATCCGTGAAGGGGAGAGCGGCAGTGGCAAGCGACGGCACCGTCACACTCACAGCAGCCTCACAGCTTAACACGTGGGGTGCAGCGTTCCTCCAACTCCCCGTCTCGCTCTTCTCCTTCGCGCTGAAAGCCAGTGCCTGCGGCCGCCCCTTGGCCTTCACCGTCTACTTCTCCTTCTCCATTCTCAAAACCGCCGCGTCCAACGCTGCAGCAGAAGCGGGGGACGGGTTTGCATTTGTGATTGCAGCCAGTGACTCTGTAACAGGCGGTAGCAGTGGCAGCAGCGACGGCAGTGGGGGTGGTGGCAGCTTGGGGTATGCAGGCATGGATGAGCGCAGCATAGCCGTGGAGTTTGACACTTCTAAGAGCACCGATGCCAACGACCCAGACAGCAACCACGTGGGACTCAGTGTGAGCGGCAAAACCTCTTCCATCGCAACAGCCAAAGCGCCCTTGACTCTCAACGACGGCAAGCCAAAGCATGCATGGCTCGTCTTTGACCCCAGCAGCAGCAGCAGCAGCAGCAGCAGCGGCGGCGGCGGCGGCGGCGGCGGCGGCACGGGCTCGCTGCAAGTGTTTCTCTCAGCCAGCGCGTCTCCGAAGCCAAGCAAGGCAGTGCTGTCGGAGAAAGTGTCACTGTGCCACTACCTCAAGCCCACCGCACAGGGCGCGTCGTTTCACATGGGCTTCACTGCCTCTGCATCAGATTCCCCGCAGCAGCACTCCATCCTCGCGTGGAACGTCTCCGCAGGTCCCTGCCGCCCCCTGGCGCCCCTGCCGCCCCCTGCCGCCCCCTGCCACCAAACCCCCTTCCTCTGTGTCGTCCAGTCCACCCATTGCTCTCTCCCACCGTGAATGGCCCAGAATCGCTCGCTGAGCCTCGCTTCCCTATGATACACTGCCCTCGTTCATGAGCATGCGTTACATTCCATCACTTGTTACGTCTCCTTCGCTTGTCCAGTATTTGCATTTTCCGCCTCCCCTCGCCTCAAGTCTCTTCTTTGTGCGTTCCTCTGTTTCTCTCTCTCCCTCTACCTCCCTCGCTCCTTCCCATCTTTCCCTTACCTTTCCAGGCCTCCCAGAACCAACCACTCTTACAGTTATGATTGACTTGAGTTCGTTTCTATAACATCTCAAGAGTTTCACAAGCAAAGCATGATCAACCACTCTTGCATGTATGCGTAGCTTGCATTGCCTTGACTCGGCAACCTTTCCTTTCGATCCTTGGTTCTCTTCCTTCCGCCTCCCTCCCATTGCCCAATCCTCCCGCCAAATCCTCCTCCAATACTTACCTCCCCTAAAATCCCCCTCGACCCTCCTCGCCGCCTCCACTCCCTCTTAACCCCACCAGCTTCCGCCCTACCCGACGACCCACACATATTGTACACATCCCCCTACCTTACCTCACACGCCTCTTCCGTCCCCTCCTCTCCCGAACCCCCAATCTCCCCCTTTTCCAGGGCAGCAGTTCGGGTTCCAGTTGAGTGAGGCGTCACTGTCACCAATGGGAGCCAACCCTTTCTTCCGCTATGCCAGTGTTTTTTTACGCGCCTTAGAAACCCTCCCAACCCCTCAATCTCCCTCTCCCCAGGCCAGCAATTCGGGTTCCAGTTGAGTGAGGCGTCACTGTCACCAATGGGGGCCAACCCTTTCTTCCGCTATGCCAGTGCAGGCGTGCAAGCACTGCAGGCGACAGGGGGAGCAGGAGTAGCAGGAGGAGCCGGGGTAGGGGGGGGAGGCGGAGGGGAGCAGCAGGAGGTATGGGTTGTCAGCCAGGCGTTCTCCTGGGCCGACCTGGGGCTTCCGTGGCCCGTCCAGAACCAGGGCGCCTGCGGTGAGGGCGTGCTCCTTGTGGGGATGGAGTGGGATGGGATGGGATGGGATGGGATGGGATGGGATGGGATGGGATGCGATGGGATGGGATGGGATGGGATGGGATGGGATGGGATGGGATGGGATGGGATGGGATGGGATGGGATGGGATGGGATGGGATGGGATGGGATGGGATGGGATGGGATGGGATGGGATGGGATGGGATGGGATGCGATGGGATGGGATGGGATGGGATGGGATGGGATGGGATGGGAAGGGATGGGATGGGATGGGATGGGATGGGATGGGATGGGATGGGATGGGATGGGATGGGATGGGATGGGATGGGATGGGATGGGATGGGATGGGATGGTATGGGATGGGATGGGATGAGATGGGATGGGACGGGATGGGATGGGGGTGGCGCTCTGTGGGTGGAAGTGGGGTAAGGGGGCTTTGGGTTTGTTTTCTGGTGGTGAGAAGGGACTGTCCCATTTCTGGTCGTTGTGGCTTGTCCTTTCCTACAGTTCTCATTTCCCCCATCCAGCACCCCCCTCTCGGGACACTGCTGGGCGCACGCAGTCATGAGAGACATAGAAAAGCCCTACAGCGTCCTCTTCAACCTCTCTCATCTCTTCAACCTCTCTCATCTCTTCAACCTCTCATCTCTTCAACCTTTCAATTCAACCTCCACTCCGCACCCCCTCCCCCAAATTCTGCGCGTAATTAGTCATGATAGCCATAGAAATGCCCCACAGCTTCCTTTTTAACCTCTCTCATCGCTTCTACCTCTCAACCAAAACTCCCCTCCCCCATTCCCTCCTCCCCCCCCTCCACTTCCTCCCTCTCTTATTGCCTCAGGCGACTGCTGGGCGTACGCGGTGGTGTGCAGCATAGAAATGGCATACGGCATTCTCTCCAACCTCTCCGCCGTACCACTCCTCTCCGTCTCCCAGTTGCGCGACGCCCTCGGCTCCTCATGCTCGCAGGGCAACTCGCCCTCCCAGGCCTTCCAGTACCTCGTCAATCTCAATGCCAAGAGCAAAGTCGGGCTCACATTGGACGGCAGGGCCGGGGCGGTGGCGAACGGCGGGGGCAGGGGCGGGAGCGGGAGCGGGAGCGGGAGCGGGAGCGGGAGCGGGAGCAAGAAGATGGGAAACTCAGTGGGGCTCATGGTGCATGGGAAGGCTGGGGAGCGGGTGGAAAGGAGGGGGTGGAGTGGGCGGCACACGGGGGCATGGGACCGCGGGGTAGGGAAGAGGTCAAGCCAGAGCCCGCTCTGTGGCCTGCCGTTCTTTGCGCAGCTTGCCAAGGTTCTCGGGATCTCGTGCGGTGCAGGGCAGGGCTCCGGATTGTTGGTACGTTGCTCTTCAGTTCAGGTGACTTTCGAGTCGACTCAAAAGTCATCTCGTGTGGTGCAGGGCAGGGCTCCGGATTGTTGGTACGTTGCTCCCCTTGGCTCCTCCTCCTTGTGCTTTCCCCACCCCCCCTACCCCTTCTCCCCTACCCCACCTCCCCTACCCCACCTCCCCTACCCCTTCTCCCCTACCCCACCTCCCCTACCCCACCTCCCCTACCCCACCTCCCCTACCCCACCTCCCCTACCCCACCTCCCCTACCCCACCTCCCCTACCCCACCTCCCCTACCCCACCTCCCCTGCCTCACCTCCCCTACCCCTACTCCCCTAATCCACCTCCCTTGGCCCTCCTCCACTTCCCCTCCTCCCCTGCCAAAACCTCCCCTGCCCCACCTACCCTGCCCTCCTCCCCTGTCCCCATGTCAGAGCAAGCCGACGGGTGGGCCGTTCAGAGTGAGCGGGTTTGAGCGCACGGCGTTCCACGGCTGGTTTGGGCTGCTGCTGGCCGTGCAGCAACAGCCCGTGGTGGTGCATGTGCAGGCCATCGCCCCCTCCTTTCTGAACTATGATGGGGTGAGAATGAGTGCGCATGGAGCACGGTGGGTGCTCCCACTCTCAATCATGACAGGGTGGGTGGGTCCAATCACACTCATGCCACCGCTCCCTCCTTCCTCCTCCACGATGGGGTGAGCATGTGTGCACATGGAGCACATGGAGTGAGGAGAGCGCTTCCTCTCAGTCACGACAGGGTTGACCACTCACACTCATGCACGCCCGCCTGCCTGCACGCAGCAACGCACTCTCTCGTGTGCATGTGCGCACACACGCACACGCCTGTGCTCTTCCCTTGCTATGTCAGGATGGATGGGTTGCCACATGGTTGGGCAAGAAAGATATTTTTTAGCTGCCTCAAAAATAGGTGCCACATGGTTGGGCAAGGCATATAAACCGTATGCAACCCCCCCTCTCAAATCTCCTCCTTGTCTCCCACCCCAGCTATCCAAGTACGCGGACCCGTCCTGCTTCACGTACAACCTGAACCACGTGGTGCTGCTGGTGGGCTATCGCCTCACCGGCTTAGACCCCACCTTCCCGCACATGGCGCCGCCCTTCTGGATCATCCGCAACTCATGGGGCCCGGAGTGGGGCGACAGCGGGCACATGCGGATGGACATACAGGGGGGCGACGGCGTGTGTGGGATCAACACGCTGCCTGGGATCTACCCGGTGGTGCGCGCTGCCAAGGACCCCTGCAACGTCAACGGCACCACCCGTGGGCTGTTTGGGCCGCTCTTCAACCCATGTGGCAACTTCACGTGCACGCCCACGCCTGATGGGGCCAGCAACCACTGCGACTGCACCGACCCGCGATTCGTCGAGGCGCTTCAACCGGACAACTCACGCACCTGTGCTTACAATGAGCGCTCTCCCCTGGACTTACAGTGAGCCCCCTCCCCTGTGCTTTCAGTAACCGCACTTGAGTGTGCTGACAATGAACATTAAATAGTGTGCTTGAACTGAGCGCTCTTTCTCCTAACTCTTCGTCCTCATGTCTCACGTGCTGCTTCCCTCGTGTCTCACATGCCGATGCACCTTGGCGTGCATGTTGTGCCGATGCCCCATTGCGCTGAGTCCTGACTTTTGATCGATGTGCACTTGACCAAGGGAACGATAGTTAGCAACCTCTTGCCGCCTCTGCTACCTTAGCTATCTATCATTCACTTGGTCACGCCGTTAACCAGAAGGTAAGAAGGTTTGAGTTGGTTGACTGTCCACCTTGGTGGCAATGCACCTAACATCTCCTTCTCATGGCCCTCATGCCTCTTCCATCAGAGTATGTTCGTCCTATGTGTCGCTTGGCAAAGCACAGAGCCGCATTTGTGCACTACAGTGCTGCTCATTTGACAATGGTAGCCCGTCTTGGCTGCTATGATACTATCGCATTGTGAGGTGCCTCAAAAGTCGCTGTTGTGCACTGCAGTGCAGTGCTTCTCACTTGACAATGATAGCCCGTCTCGGCTGCTATGAAGCTATCAGCGGTATCGGCACCACACCATGTTTCTTGACTGTTCAGCCAACGTCGTCTCATACCTTTTGTCTCCTGGCTGTCTCTGATTCTCAAATTTCTTCGTTGTTGTTGTTGCTGTTTTTTTTTTCTTCTTTCTGGTTTCTATCTGTCGCCTTGTTCTCCAGAGGATGTGTGCGGGGCGGCGGTGCAGAATCCGTGTGCGGTGGGCACGTGTGTGAATGATGGCAAGGGGTCGTACTCGTGTGTGTGCCCTCCGGGCTTCAGGCAGGGCACTACTGTTGATGGCACCTTCTCCTGTGCTCCAGGTAACCTTCTCCTGTGCTGCAAGTAACCCTACCCTCTTGTGCTCAAGACACCTTTCCCCCTTGTTGTTCAACATCCACCTGTCCCACTCTTATTCACGCTAAGCTGTCTCCAAGCTTGACCTTTCTTGTCTTTTGCAAAGCCTCTTTACTTAGGCTATGCTACCACCAAGCAACCAGTAGACACTATATGATACATTGCAATAAAGCCTCTTCTCATCTGCCCATCGTTACCATCACTCCCCATTCACCAACCAACAACGAAGCCCACCAGCCGCACCCAGTTCCACCGATTCATGTCTATTCCCACCATTCTGGACCACTTTGCACCGCACCGCACCATACTGCACAGGCGAATCCAACAGCAAGTACAGGGTGGTGGCAAAAGGACTCACGTGCGCAGACATCCACCCCGTGTGTGGTCTCACTCTTGCCCAATTCCAAGACCAGAACCCCGTGAGTCCCCTTCCTCCCACGCCCACATCGCTACCCATGGGCTCTATGGGTGTGGTGGGTGCACTGCACTGCTGCTTGCCCATTTCCTAGTGACTGTGAGACACACCCACCCACCCACCCACCCACCTCACCTGCCCTATGCCATCGCCTCCACTGTCCAGTCCATCCTCCCCTCACTGATTCTCTTCCCCTTTCCCCGCCAGGATGTGAGCTGAAGTGATCCTCTGCCTGTCGGCACGGTGGTGAACGTGGTCCAGCCAGACGACCTCACGCCCTGCTCCGTCTACTACACCACGTCCCCGGTACGATTCCTTCCTTCCCTCCCTCCCTCCCTCCCTCCCTCCCTCCCTCCCTCCCTCGCTCCCTCCCTCCCTTCCTCCCTCCCTCCCTCCCTCCCTCCCTCCCTCCCTCCCTCCCTCCCTCCCTCCCTCCCTCCCTCCCTCCCTTCCTCCATCTCTCAAATCCTCCCTCACTCCCTCCCTCCCTTGTCCCACCCATGTCAACCACAACCTGCAACCCTCTGTTTCCCAACCTATTTTAACCCTCTACGTAGCCCCACAAACCCCTTCCACTTCTCGCTTTCTCCTTGCCCCCCGTCGTTCCTATACGACCCTCTTCATCCAATCTCCCTACCTACTCCCAACCCTAACATCCATGCCCTCCTCTTCCCCGTCCCCTGTTCCCCTCCCGCCCTTCCCCCTGTTCCCCTCTCCTCCTTCATCGCTCTTCCTTCCCTCTCCCTCCCATCCCCCCAGGGTGACACATGTGAGTCGCTAGCCTCCTACTTCTCTCTCTACTCCGACGACTGCCCCACTCCCACCGAGCCCTGTGCAGAGGCCTTCCAGGCGCTCAACCCCGGGCTGGACTGCGCCAGCAGCAGCGGGGAGCTGGTGGGCAGCCAGGCGGTGTGTGTGGAGCGGCGGGCGGAGAGTGCAGCGGCGCTGCTCATCCCGGTGTGCTCGCAGTTCTATCTGGTGCAGGCCAGGGAGACGTGCGACCAGATCCGCTCCGTGCCCTCCCCACCGCTCTCCCCTCTCGAGTTCTTCCGCCTCAACCCCGGCATCAAGTGCAGCCGCCTCGTGCCCAAGACTGACGTCGGCAGCCTCACAGGCTTCGAGGTCTCCCTCTGCTCTCCCTCTGCTCTCCCTCTGCTCTCCCTCTGCTCTCCCTCTACTCTCCCTCTGCTCTCCCTCTCCTCTCCCTCTGCTCTCCCTCTGCTCTCCCTCTACTCTCCCTCTGCTCTCCCTCTGCTCTCCCTCTACTCTCCCTCTGCTCTCCCTCTACTCTCCCTCTACTCTCCCTCTGCTCTCCCTCTGCTCTCCCTCTACTCTCCCTCTGCTCTCCCTCTGCTCTCCCTCTGCTCTCCTCTGCTCTCCTCTGCGCAACCTTCTTCCACACCACCCTCTTTCCATCATCTCTCTCTCCCTTGCATCACCTGCTCCTCTCCTTTCCATTCTCTTCCAAGGCGCCTTAGAAAGCTTCCAATGCTCTTCAAAAGCCTTCTGAGGCGCATTAAATGTTTGGAGCTGCATGGTACGTCTTGAATTTATGTCAGCCCTCCATTCCAGCCTTCTTACGTACCTATTTACTACCTACCTACCCACCCACCCACCCACCCGCCTATCTACCTACCTACTTACCTACCTACCTACCTACTTACCTACCTACCTACCTACCTACCTACCTACCTACCTACCTACCTACCTACCTACCTACCTACCTACCTACCTACCTACCTACCAACCAACTTACCTATCTACCTGCCTACCTGCCTACCTACCAACCTATCTACCCACCTACCTACCCACCTACCTACCTACATACCTACCTACCTCCCTACCTACCTATAAACTACCTCTCTGTCTTTCTTGTCTTCCCACATCCTCTCCCCTCATTTTCCCCTCCCTCCTCCCCACACGCATTTGACTGCACGGCAAGAGCAGGCGTATATAGGCAGCTCGTTCAGCTTCACGCAAGGATTGTGCCCCAACCCAAGGCCCGTGCATACATGGTTGGGACTGGCGACCACTGCACTGGCCTGCAGGTCAAGTACTTCCGTGGAATCAAAGGGTGTTACTGGCGGGTCAACGGGTACGATTGCATCGATAAACTTGTCAAAGCCTCCAGAGTGTGCATTCCGGACCAAGTGAAGATCAAGGCTGGGAAATGCGAACCTTGACATGGTGCTAGTTTGAACCACCATTTTCTCCTTGTTATTAGATGCTACGGTTTGTCTTTTCCAAACATTATGACGCAAGTGCTGTGGGTGTGTGTGGGTGTGTTTGTGTGCATGTGTGTGAGATATACACCCTCTGGAGGCTCGTAGGGATTAGTGTGGAAAGGTGGTAAGGGCATTAAGTCGAAAGAATTGTATACGGCTCCGGGCATTTATAGATATTTATATGGACCATGCATATACATATATATATGTACATACCGTATATATACATATACATACATATCAATTGTTCAGTTCAGTGAATGTTCACATATGAAAAACACGCTTCCTATACAAAAGATACATTAGGGATGTACCGTGTCACCCTGGATCGGGCGTATGATAGCTGCATGCGCCTCTATCTGGAGCACTGCACTTATATCCGCTTCGCGATTATAAGCTCAAGTCAAATCATGAGTTGGTTGGTTTATTATAAGCGCATGTTAGAGTCCTGTCCAAGCACTTGAACGAATCTCCCTTTAGGAACCTATCCACTGTCGATTTTGGTTATCTTCAAGCTCGTACGCCTCACAGGTGCATGTGCTGTCAGGGATGCCAAGGATGTTTGCTATGCCGAGGATTCCAAGGAACATCAACAATTTCATTGCAGCCTATTGCATAGACACAATCGAGACACATTCAAGGATGAATCGCATTTGCTAGCCACTGCCTTGCCTGAAGCCATAGCAGCAACTGTAGAACAAGCAATAAGCCAGTAAACGGAGTGAGCATTGACATCTGTTGGCTAAAACAGATCCGCAAGTCTCCGCATTTAACGGTAAGACTTCTGGTAGCGGGCGCGGGCACCACGACCACCGAACTTCTTGGGCTCGCAGCGGCGGGGGTCAGCAACGAGGAGAGTGCGGTCGTAACGCAACAACAAGTTCTTCAGCTCCCGCTTGGACTGCTCGTCCACGTCTGCTCGTTCCAAAAAGAAATATGCATGGTTGGGAGTGAGGAAAAAAAAAACGGAAAAAAAATACATAAGAGGGAAATGGCAAGAGAAGTAGATGTGCTGTGCAAGAGTAAGGTTGCAAGGAATTGAAACACTCAGCACAGCCCATGCAGCCCACAACACACACCATTATTCATGCCAGAACTCCACAACCACTCAACATCCCAGCCTATAGATATCACGTACACTTCTGGTAGTAGGCAACGAGGGCCTTGGCAATGGCCTGACGGATGGCTGTGATGGGGAAGGACACACAGGGAAAGAGCGAAGGTTCTGGACTCAGTAAGGAAGAAAAACGACAGTGTAGGAAAAATGGTACAGTCGTACAAACGAATCAATTGCACAGAGAAACTGGGTGTAGGAACAGACCGAATCCAACAACTCTAACTGGCCCCACACGAGAAAGGGCATTTGGGAGTGAAGCGAAGTTGGCGGAACAAAGTTGGCGCAACGCACCGTAGATCTGTGACACGTGTCCTCCTCCCTGCACGCGGATGCGGATGTCGACATTGGCGAACTTGTCCTTGCCCAGCACCGTCACGGGCTCGAACGCCTTGGCGCGGAGCGTATCAGGCTCCACCAGCTCAAGCGGCGATCCTGCGCGCAGGGGGAGAAGCGGAGGGGGAGGCCCGGGAAAGGTGGAGACGGGGAGAAGTTGGAGAAGGGGAGAAAAAGGGGTAGAGTTGTACAGGGTACGTTGCGACAGGGGGGAAGGAGGGAGGGGGAGGGTTGGTTTAATGATGCGGGGGAAGGTGAGAAGGATGGAGAGGGGGGGAGGGGGGGGAGGGAAGAGGTCTAGAAGTCAGTGTTGAGTCAAAGGTAGGGAACCTGAATAAAAACCCTTAAGAACGAGGGAGCAGGAATGGGTTCCGACATCTTTAAGTCGAAGGTCTCGGAAGAATCTGGGAAGGTTAGGAATGGGAGAGGATGCATAGCAGAGGATGTGGAGCAAGCGAAAGAACTAACCGTTGAGGCGAATAAGACCCTTGCCCCTCTTGCAGTGAGCCACTGCCACTGCTGTCTTCTGCTCTCAAGAAACCAGCGGAGAGGGAATTGGGACGGAGGGAAGGAGAGGCGTAAGGTCGAGAAGAACTGAAAGGTAGAAGGAGGTTGAACATTAAGGAATACGGCATCGAGATTCCGTGTGCAGCGTTAATGAATATCAGCCCTAGGAAATAACCCTAGGTCAACGCCTTAGGCAAACGCCCTAGGTCAAAGCCCCAGGATACGGTAATGATCGCTCTGTCCCCGCAGTGGATCCGGAGTGATCCGGGACCACTTTAAACATTCTGTAACAGGAAATGGCTTTCCTATGTTTCAGTTTCCTGGAAGAACCGCCAGTGATAGTCTCAGGAGGAGGTAAGGAAGAATGAGGAGACAACGCACCTTGCGACCGAAACACTGCACCGACTGCAGCGACGCAGATATGACACAGCATCAACCACGACCGCGAAACGCCGCACCGAAGGGAGTTCGAGAGAGGAGGGGGAAGGGAGACGGGAGGCACAGAAAGGAATGGACAACAATTGAGATATCGTTGAAAAAAGAGGAAATTAATTGTAACGGGGGGCGGAGTGAGGAAAGACAGGGAGTGGGAGAGCGGACAACGAAAGGGGGGACGCAGGTTGCAAGAGAGGAACGGCAGGAGGGGAGAGAGAAGACGAAGGAAAGGTCAAGAGTAAAACAGGACCGAATATAAGAACGATCAGCACTGACGGATCAGACACGCAGCCAACGGGTGGCCTGATCGGAGTGCACGAGGGACCATTCTCGAATAACGGCAATGCACGCCTGACTGATCACCAGCACTACGCACAGGTTCTCAGCTGATCTACACCTAGCGAGCCCACTCTATCGCAGCGTCGCTTCTATCCCATCAAAACAGTCTACTTATTTGGACCGTTTGTCCAGCTTTATCTGACCTCAATACAGTTCCGATTCCCATTCGTCCCCACTCGCACGACTGGCTTTACAATGACCTCGAGCGGCGTGTGCTGGGAGCTGCAACAGCACGATGCGAGATTCGTGTATGGCTAGAGCAGAACGACCCCCTGGAGGCGTTCTTGACAAGACACACCCGCATCCCCTTCTTCTTATACGTGCTCACGCGTCAGCTACAGCGACTGCTTGCTTCTGATGAGGCTGTCCATGTCGGCTAGTGGATCTAGCCATAGCATGGCCCGCCACCGTGACATGATGACTTGAGACGCAATGGCATGGCTTTAAACGCATTACTTCGGCAAAGCCCCTCTCACCCTAATCTGACGAGAGACATATGTTAAGTCCGACAAGCCAGCACGCGATTAGCCGGAAGGCAAAAATTGAAACATTTTGGAAATGAAAATAAAACACAGAGAACTCCCAAAAGGCTTATCTCAGGCCAGATGTGTACGAAGATATACGAAACAAGAGAAAACGCAAGAGTTCGGGCTTCAACGATCAACAGCCCTCCCGCAGCAATTGACGGTTCTTCACTCGACGCCATGCTAAACGAGGTGTTCCGCCAACAATATTAGATTGTATGGAGCCGCGGCAGCTGCACTAGACGAAACCCTAACGCTGGAAAACGGGTCGGCAGCGCCGGAATTCGGAGCAGGGTTAACTAGACGAGGACCTAATCACCCCTGCGACACTACGAGCTCATCCCTCGAAAAAGCCTGCGCAGCTTAGTGCGGTGCGGTTCGTACCTCCATGGCTGGCGACAAGCGAGGGCAGCCTGACGAAGAGAGCTGGGCGAGAAAGGAAAGAGAAAGTAATCGCAGGGCGAGGAGTAGAGGGAGGAAAGAGAGCAAGCGTGGGCGAAAAGTGGAGAGAAATGGTGAGCACGAGGTGTTGACGGCTGGAGGTGAGGGGACGAGGGAGGGGGAGGAGGGGAGGATGGGGCAGGGGAATCAAAGCGGGCAGGGATGCGGGCGCGCAGGGAGGCGGGCATGCAGGGAGGCGGGCGTGCAGGGAAAATATTGGGGGAATATTCGGAGCGCACACGGGGTGGGGAAAGAGAACTTCGCCCGACGATGGGCGGAATCGCGGAGGTGGCAAACGAGGGCGGGATGTGTTCGAGGCTGGGCAGGTTTTGCGCGGGGGAGCTGAACTGGGGGTTTGATGAGCTTTTTTGGGCTTCGAGAGTACCCTGGGGTGCGTCCACGCCAATAACAGTTCGTGTCACTCTGTGCAATCTTTGTAACTATCTGTAGTGTCTTATGGTTGTACAATATGGGATACAACCACTGGGGATGTAACCACTTTTATTTCTGTGGGCTAAGCTGAACTTCTCACAAATCATATTTTACGTAATTTTTTAATTAATATTTAATTTGGACCATTATTAGGAACTTTGAATGGTAAAAATAATATTACCACTAGCATGCATATTTCAACTCTAACACTCTTCTTTTGGAGGACCCCTATATATCAGCAAAACCCGAAACAAAGTTTTGTAACCACTTTTATTAGTGAAATGCATCCTAAAAAAAAACAATATGGGATACCGTACATGTCGGCTGAAAACAATATTTTAATATTGATCCGTTGAGGAAAGTAGAACGAAAATTGATGACTAAGGAATGGAAGTGATACAAATATGCAACCCTAGAAATGTGTACCCCATAAAGGCTACCCCACTATAGCCTACATAATATGATAATTTGACACACCCCCATAGGCAAAGTGGGGGAGAACGAGGGGTCACAAGACCAGTCAAGCAAAGCAGACAAAGCTCAGGGTGGATCACAACGTCACCACACAGTCCGAGCACAAGGTTAAGGCCACAAGGCCAGTTCACATGCAGGAGTACACATATATATAAGGCTAAACAAGCAAGAGCAGGTATATATATATGTAAGAGTACAAGCAAGGTCAAGGGGTGAGCAAGTGAGGCAAGACAGGCACAAGACCCAGCTGAGTGCAGAAGCGCTGATGATCACAAGGCGGAAGTGCCTTGGTGAAAACATAAGCAGTATTGGCCTCAGAGGCCACGTACGCAAGTCGCAACTGACCACGCTGCTGCAACTCACGAGCAAGAAAGTAGCGGAGAGCAATGTGCTTCGTTCTGTGCTCCAGGCGCTGCTCCCGACACAAGGCCAGCATGGCCTTGTTGTCTACGTACAGCACTGGAGGAGAACGAGGCAGCTCTTCGAGGTCAGTCAGCAGGTAGGTGAGCCAGCGAAGCTTCTGTGCAGCCATGGCCCCGGCGTAGATCTCAGCCTCACAACTGGAGCCGAGAACAGAAGACGAGCGAGTAGCCCGCCACGAAACAGAGCCGGAACCAAGACTGAAGGTGTAACCCTGCGACGTCCGCTGCGTAGCCTGGTCGTCAGCCCAAGAAGCGTCCGCGTGCCCAGTGAGGACCACTGGACTCTGCCCTCCAAGCACTAGCCCCATGCCCGACGTACTGCACAAGTAGCGCAACACCCTCTTCGCTGCAGCCATGTGCTCTGGTCTGTGTCTCCTAGGAGCAACATAGCGTGCAAGAATGCTAAGAGGGTATGCAAGGTCAGGTCGTGTGCAGGTCATCAGGTACATGAGGCAGCCAACAAGCTCTGGGTACGGGCCACTCGGCTCTACGGACTCATCCGAAGGCAGAGCTGAGAGCGAGTGGCGAGTAGGCAGAGGAGTGGCCTGAGGCGAGGAGTACGTGAAGCCGAAGCGCTGAAGGACCTGCTGCACCATGTGTGACTGAGTCAAGGTAATGGTGCGGCGTGCTCTGTCCCGGGTGATCTGCAAGCCAAGGTAGCTGCGCAGTTCACCCAGGTCTGTGCACGTGTGTCTCTTCTGCAGCTCGGACTTCACGTGGGCGAGTCCAGCAGTGTCAGCTGTGGCAAAGACCAAGTCGTCGACGTACACGAGGATGTAGAACGGCGGCAGAGAGGTGTCGGTGCGCAGAAACAACGACGGGTCAGCAGTAGAGGGAGCAAACCCAAGAGCCGCAAGCGTAGTCCTCAGTGTGTCGTGCCACTCGCGCGGTGCCTGGCGGAGACCGTAGACTGGCCGTCGGAGGCTCCACTGGGTGCTAGGAGGGAAAGTCCCAGTGAAGCCAGGTGGACGGCGCAGCCAGATCTCCTCGTGCAGGCTACTCTGCAGGAAAGCAGTGCTAAAGTCAAGGGAGTGAAGCTCGTAGTCACGCTGAGCGGCTATGTGTAGCAGCACCCGAAGAGTGGTCATCTTCGGGGTGGGAGAGAAGGTCTGAAAGTAGTCAACTCCCTGCTGCTGACTGAAGCCACGAGCCACGTACCGCGCCTTGAAGACAGGTGGAGAGCCCGACGGCCGCTTCACTCTGAAGATCCACATGCCACTGACGATGTTCGCCCCAGGAGGAGGAACCGCGTCAACATAGGTGCCTGTGGACTTCCAGGAAGCCATCTCTGCATCCATAGCTGCCTGCCACTGAGAGGAGTAGGGACCCTCTATGGGCTCCGCTTAAGAGCGCGGAGTCGGGATGTCTAGTGCATCCGGGTCTCCCTCACGGGTAAGCAGTACGGACGCAAGATGAGGTGAAGCAGCAGCCAGACACTGAAACTCCTCCTGCCTGTCCTCAAGGACGTCCGTGCCAAGAGCACACTCACCCCCGACGGACGGAGGACAGACAGACGTAGACTCAGCAACAAGACTAGCAGCGTAGTCTAGACGACAGCGAGCAGCAAAGTCGACGAGCTCATCAACAAGAGCAGACGCAGCAGTGGACTCAAAAGAGGGGTCAGTGACGATAGTCGCAAGGAGACACGTGACAGTAGGACTGGCAGCACGAAGAGAGTCCGACTCCGGGTCGGCAAGGGCAGGAAGAGAGGACTCAGGAGGAGAAGGCAAAGGGGCACGCAGAGGAGCAGTAGACGGACGCAGAGACATTCGGTGCGTGCCAGGGACAGGAGGAGGACGCTGACGCGAACCGCGACCACTAGCGCGAGCAGCACAAACAGGCGACGCGGGACGAGACGCAGGCTCACGACGCTCAGCAAGACCTCCAGTAGGACCAGTGTAAGGAGAGGGAGCAGGCAGTAGGGAGGCAGGCGGTAACTGTGACTGTGACTGGACAGGCGGTGGACACCCTACAGGAGGAGAAGGACCAAGAACCTGCTAAAGGAGCGGAACGAAGTACGGCCGAGGCCGCGCAGCGACTTCACACACAGCAGGGACAGCACCAGCACCCTCAGCGGCAGCACCAGCGCCAACAGCACCTCCAGCTGCAGGACCTCCAGCAGTACCTGCAGCACCCGCAGCAGGACCACCGCCAGGACTGACAGCGGTAGCCTCAGCGCCAACACCCTCAGCAGCTTCAGCTCTAGTCGTACCCGCAGGCCTAGCAGCTCCAGCACTCCCAGGACGAGCACCTCCGGGACCGGCGGCACCAGCACCCTCAGCGGCCGAAGAAGCTCCAGCTCCAGCAGTACGCCTCCAGCGCCGAGCGAACCACTCGCGCAGCTCCCGTGGAGAGAGTGGCTCCCGCCGAGACGAAGCACCCGGAGAACCTCCAGGCCCAGCACCGCCAAACGCCACACGAGCAGGTCCAGCGGCCGCTTGCTCCGCACCACCAAGCTCAGTAGCTCCAGACGCTGCACCCCCAGGCTCAGCAGCTCCTGATGTAGCACCCCCACGCTCAGCACCCCCACTCGCAGTACCCCCAGGCTCACCACCCCCAGTCGTAGAACCCCCAGGCTCAGCACCCCAAGTCGCAGCACCCCCAGACTCAGCACCCCCAGGCTCAGCACCCACGCGCGCAGCACTTCCAGAGGCAGCACCCCCAGGCTCAGCACCCGCAGCAGTACCAGAGTCACCAGCAACCTCGACCGACTCGACTGCGTCTACCTGGGACACACCTGAAGGGGCAGGACCCTGAGGGGCAAGGGGGTCTACCGGGGGGGGACCTGGCACAAGGAAGTGTGGTGGCGGGGGGAGGGAAGGAGTGCGGTAGGGGAAGAGGCGGTAGTAGGGGACTGACTCGTCGAACGTGACGTCCTGGGAGGACAGAACACGACGAGATGAGGGGTTGTAGAACTGCCGCCCTGGGGCGTCAGGGGGGAAGCCAAGGAAGACACAGGGAGCAGCACGAGGGGACAGCTTGTCCGCAGACAAGTCGCGGACAAACGCCCGAGATCCCCAGACACGGAACGCAGACGCATCGCCGACCTTCCCCGTCCACAGCAAGGCTGAGGAGGTCTCAGGCATGGAGACCCAGGGGTGAAGGTTGATCTGATGCGCCGCGTAACGAACCGCAAACGGCCACAGAAAATGGGGGGCAGCCTCATGGATCATGGACGTACGGGCGACGTCCATGACCATGCCAATGCGGCGCTCAGCAATCCAATTTTGCTGTGGAGAGTCCGGAAGCGTGAAGTTCTGGCGGATGCCTCGTGCACGACAGTAGGCTCGCAGAAGGCCAGAGGAGAACTCTCCGCCTCTGTCAGAGTGCAGACGCAGAATAGGAAAGTCCGAGCCGAAACTCTGCCTGAGCTAGAGACGAGCTGCGCGGATCCAGTCGATCAACACCTCAGTGACATCACCCTTGCTGCGCAAGGGGAAGACTGTGGTGTAACGCGAGTAGTCGTCAACCACCAGCAGGAAGTAGCGCTCGTGACCCTGTCCACGGACGCAGGCTGGGCCCCACACGTCCATGTGAAGCGTCTGCAGCGGGGCCTCTGTCGGGGGAAACTGAGAGGAGTGAGGGGCAGCCCGGAGCCGCCCCTCGACACAGGGGACACAGGAAGGACCAGGCCCCGGAGGAAGGGGAGGGAGGGACCGGGGAAGACCAGAGACAAGGACACAGGAAGCCATGCCTCGGAGACGAGGCAGGGAGGGGTGACCAAGACGGTGGTGCCAGAGGAGAGTCTCGTGAGACAGGAGGCGACACGAGCAGGGGGCAGACTCAGGACCAGAACTGGACGCTGCAGCAAACACCTGACCCGACGCAGCTACCTGGCCAGAAGCAGGGACAGGAGGGGA